GAGATCCACCTGCCTCTGCCTCCTGAGTGCTGGGATTAAAGGCATGTGCCACCACGCCCGGCATGCCCTTTCATTTTTAATAATACAGAATAAATAACTCAGCCCATCTTATTTTATTTTTATGAGCACCCTTATACTATTTAAAGCCATTAGCTAAACTTGTACAGAGTAAGTGAAGAAACAATCAGACAATACAGCCAACTCTCAATTAGCCTATTTTCATGGCCTTATTAACAGTCTAAAGAGTAAGTGGAAAAAAAAAATTTCAACTGTATGCTGAGTTTTTTCCTCACAATAACAGCAAATTAATGTTAAAAATCCTAAACTACATACAGATTTTTAAAAAATTATGAACACAGAGAGAATTGTTATTCAATCTTCACATCTGTTTTTTTTCCTGATTTTATCTTTAATGCCACCCTTCTCCACTTCCGTTTCTCTGCTGCCACCAAACTTTTCAATGGATCCTTGATCTCCCTTCACAGGACTGTAAGTGTTCATTTATCTACCACTCTCAGCATAACATCTAAAATGTACGAAACATTTTCATATATACTTACTTGGTCATTACAGACTTACTTTTCATGTTAACAGTATATGTGTGCATATATGTAAGACTGCGTACAGTGAATGCTGAACCTGGCACTTTTTTCCATTTTATCTCAATTTTGAGTTAAGTTTTCTTAACGCCCATTCCGAAGTTCAATGATTCATCTAGTAAGCTGCAATTCCCTCCCCTAGAACTCCTTCACCTGTTCATCTCTCAAAACACAGCTCAAGCCTCCCTTTATTCCAAGGACAGAGTTATGCCTGTTCCAATACTCTCTAAATGCTTTTCACCTCACTATTTCATGCCACTAGAGGTCTCTACATCCTGGGCTCCTCCCTGGTGCCTTTTCCATTAAAAATATTTTCCTTGTTAGTGACTACTCATGATTTAAAATTTTACAGTCAATAGAACAAATGTTTCATGGGTGGCCAAAACTGTCTTACCAATTTCAAAGGACAAACTACATAGTAATATCCCTGATCTTCCTTGAAAAATAGTTTTTCCTACTTTTTAAAGACTTGCGATAGCTTTCAGGCTGGAGTCAAATCTGTGATACCCTTGCCTTGCGATAGCTTTCAGGCTGGAGTCAAATCTGTGATACCCTTGCCTCAGCCTCCAAATGTTGGACTTACAGGCCTGTGCCATCATGCCCCTGAAATCCTAGAAACAGTGAGACTGAGGCAGGAAGATCTCCTTGAGTTCAAGGCCACCGTGGGCTACACAGAGAGTCAAGCCAACCTGGGCTAAAAAGAGAGAATAATTTAAATAATGTCTACAAATCCTCTCAAAGTATTTATAATATACTCCTTGGGCAAGGAGTTAAAGAACATTTCATAAGCCCTAAATTAAACTATTACGAGATGCTTCCAAATACCCTGAGATATGTTCAGGATTAATGATCAAAAAACTAGAGCCTTGGTCCTAAATCCGCCACATAATAGTTGACTTGGGAAAGTCACTTAATGTCCTGGAGTCAATTTATTTTCTATATACATAGGATACTATTACAGGCTTTTCAGAACTGTTGGCATACTAGTGAAGGAATGGTTGTAAAACGATTAAAAACTGGTAATTTGTTGATAATTATTGTTTTGTACAACATCATTTCTGTTTTCAGAATTAGGCCCAACAAGCATCAATAAGTATGGACTTTCTGGTCAAGCAGCAACTCTAATGAATGCATTCAAGGGAAGCTATCTACACAGCTTCCAAGATGCCCTTCCTGCATCATAAGTCAGGTCCTAGAAATATAATTTGGAGTATCTTCTCCTAAATGCATTATCTCCTTCTGTGCAGCATGAAAATGCATCAAAAGATGCTCCTGGAGCTTCTCCTTGTTGGCCTGCCTTTTAACTACCTGGAACAGCACATGGAGTCAGCTACAAATCTGGCAAACTTTCACTGCCCGTCTTTTAAATCACTTATTAAAAAAAAAGGAAAATGAAACTAGTTCTTCTACTGACCACCTAAATGAAGGGGAAGAGTTAGACTGCAGTCTCTATATAGATAAAGTCAAAGACCAAGTTAATTAGATAAACCAGCTCCTCTCTGACTACTTATATTTTAACCCTGAAGAAAGTATGTGGACTTCTCTTAATATTTTTTTAATTTATGTATATGAGTGTATTGGCTGCATGTATGTAAGTGCATAGATGTTGTGCAATGTACACGGAGGTCAGAGGGTGCTGGATCCCTTGGAACTGGAGTTATGGACAGTTGTTAGCCACCATGTGGATGAAGTGGGAATCGAACTCAGGTCTTCCACAAGAACAGCCAGTGCTCTTAACCACTGAACCATCTTGCTAGCCCTTAGTGGATTATATTTAACATTTAGAGATCCTTCAGCTTCGCACAGAGTGGTCCCAACAATCAAAGGGAAATTGGTTCCCAGGACATCCCTTCATCAGAATGTGCAGTTGCTCAACATTCCTTTATATAAAATGGCATAGTATTTGCATAATCCTTGTACATCACCCCATTGTTTTTTGAGGTAAGAGTCTCATACAGCCTAGGGTTTGGGGGGGAAAGCTTTAACTTCTGATCCTTGTATGCTAGGATTATAGGCACACACCACCACACCTACCCAGTTTATGCAAGGCTAGAGATCAGACCCAGGGCTTTGTGTGCATCCTAAGCAAGTATTCTACAAATTGAGCTACATCCCCAGCCCTCTCCCTTATACTTTATCTCTGTAATACCTACTAAAAGTAAATGCTATGTGTGCAGTTGTTATACTGTATTATTTATGGGAAGATGCCAAGAAAAAAAGGGTGTACATATGCATTATAGGCATTATTCTTCCCAAAATATTTTCAACACAAAGTTGAGTTTACAGACGAAGAACCTTGGATTCTTCAGAATCCAAGGGCAAACTACATGCATATGCACAAGACAAAATAAGACTCAGAGAAGGACCACATGATTGATGTTTATATAGTATCTTAAAACTACAGAAACAAAGAGGCTTAGAGCCTCTTGGGGGAGGAGGTGGCAACAAGTCATTGGATGTGGCAGGAGAGCAATGTACAGCTAATAGCAGGTTGTGTTGTTGTGCAGATAAAATCACCCTGATAATACATAATTGCTGCCCTCAAAAGAATAGGTGACTACTGCTTGTGGCAATTTGTCCAGGTGAGGTGTAGACCTCTAATCTTTTTTCCCTTGATATGATCTTTCCTAGATCTTTCTTTAGGGAGATAAGGAAACCTCAGAGAAAACCTCTGTTAGCTACTGTTTACCATTCTAGGTTTCTTTTACAGATGTAAATTTTTTCTACAAAAGGTCAGCTCTTTAAAACTATTCCAGTGTCTGCAGTTCCTCTGAATATGCCCAAGAACTGTAGTTTAGGGTGGCATATTTTAGTTTCCTACAGTGTTAAACAGAATGTGTGGAAATGTAACAGTGTCATTAGTCCCTCTCAAATAATTTCTTTGAATTGTTCACCTACACATCAAGGCAGGCAACTAATTTTCACTTAAACTACCCAGATGAAATTTATCCAGTATTAACATGAGTCAACAATCCAGCCTAATTATCTTTCAAGATTATTCCTGCTCTAACCAGATTCAAAGGCCCTTTTCTCAAAGTGAAGAGTTGGCCAATGCAGATGAATCATTTCTTATATTTTATAGTTCCTCGCTTTCATTCTCTAACAACTACACTGAAGCTAATAGTATGTATGTTCAACTTAGCCCATGTCCCTGAATGCAGATCATTCTCAATGTTATTCGATTTTAAAGTATGTTTAAAAAGAAACAAACAACTCAGCCAAGTGTGGTGCTGTACACCTTTAATCCTAACACTTGGGAGGGAGAGGCAGGCAGATCTCTGTGAGTTCAAGGCCAGACTGGTCTACATAGTGAGTTCCAGGCCAGCCCAGGCTATAGGGAGACCCTGTCTCAGAAAGACCAAAAAACCCCTCCAAAAACCAAAACCAAAACCAAAACCCCCCTAAAACTCCAACCTAATGAAAAAAAAGTACAATGGTCAGTTATACTTTATTGATAGTAGTTTTGATGCCTTCTAAAATCATATTTACTAAATAATTTATTCATATAATTAGAATATATGAATATGCACTAGGCCTGAAGAAGTACATGTTTTGGGTTCTATCTACAGATCCCCAAAATACATCATGAATCCAACAAGTGTCCAATAAACTATGATAATTTCAAAGATTAGGAGTTGGTCACTTTTAAAACAAGAAAATTCTGTAATAAGTCAAATGTAACTAGAAACTGGCTCCAGGTAACTTCAGTAATGTTAGTCCTGCTAAAATAGCTAATGACTCAAACTGTCACTATCTGAAACATTTGGTAAACTACGTGGTTTTAACACTAGCTGGAAGCAGGGTGTGGTGGCACATGCCTTTAATCCAGGTACTTGGGAGGCAGAGGCAGGTGGATCTCTGAAATTGAGGCCAGCCTGATCTACATAGTAAGTTCCAGTTTATTTGGGACTACAGGGAGACCCTGTCTCAAAAAAAAAACAAGAAAAAATCCCAACAACAACAACAACGACAACAACAAAATTAAACAAAAAATACCCCACTAGTTAGATCTGAGTTACAGCAAAATTTTAAAAAAAAAATTATGCTGTAAAGTTGTAGTAACACAAATTTACCACTAAAACCTAGCAATTTAATAAAGTTGTCAAAAATTCAATTAATAAGTCAGTGGGAGGGCTCAATGGTTAAAGGCACTTGGTCACCAAGCCTGAGGTCTTGTTTTGATTCCTAGAACCCACATACCTAAGAGACTCCTACCAAATTGTCCTCTATTCACACACAGGCCATGGCATACACATGCTTACACACTCCTACACAAAATAAATACATAAAATGTAATAAAAGATTAGCTTAATAGGAAACAGATTCAATGACAGTCATGGTTCTGTTGGCAGAAAATACTTGCAATCAATGACTGACCTTATAAACTCCTGATTTCCTTACCTCGGCTTACCTAGAAGGCCTCTAGAACTCACTGTTTTCAATGGAACACCTGCAAATCAGTTTCAGCATTTTTCTTTCTAGAATAATGAGACTGCAAGGATCCCTCATTGACACTGTAGAAAAGGAATTTTCCTCCCAGTCCTAATGTGATATTGGAGTCTATAAAAGAAAATGGCAACAGGTAAGCAGGAGGAACGGCACACAAACTTATTATGTACAAGTGTATGGGGAGGCACATAAAAGATGAGGCTCAAAAACAGACACAGCAAGCTCCAGGACAGCTGAGGCTACAGGGAGACCCCGTCTCAAAAAAACAAAAACAAAAACAAAAACAAACAAACAAACAATAAAGGGCCAGGACTGGAGTGTAACTCAGTGGTACAGCACTTGTCTAGCAGGCTCTGGAGTCAATTGCCAGCACTGGGGATGGGAGGTAGGGGTGTGGGATAGTTGAAGTTTATCATTTTGAGTTACATAAAAGCAAAGGGGCTTGGGAAGCTGGGGGTGAGGGTTACAAGTTATGAGAGAATGAGGGGAGGAAATGCACTCTGAAACAAAGATTGTTGATTCATACAGATAAAGTAGCTCAGGTAAGAGCCTCAGAAGACCATGCACATCCACAGGTAATCCAGGAGGAGGTGGATGGCCTCATGTAATCTCCTACATCCAGATATGGCAGATAAAAAGGCCTTAAGGGAAGCCTGTCTGTATAGCTGTTTATTTCACTATGTAGACAGATTTTCTTTACAGATGCAATTCTCCCACATACAAGAACAGCTTTTCAGAGCTCCTTGTCCCCTGTCACTGTAAAGAGCCATCTGGAAACATGCCAAAGCACACTCTCATGGTGGCATATTTTAATCTCCACGACCATTCAGAAAAATGTACACATTAACTTTAATTTGATATGCAGACCTAATTAAAGTCCAAGGTAAGCAGAAGTAGAACAAAAAGACCTGAGAGGGTCATTTGCACTGTGTCCCTTAAGGCAATTATTTGATGGTACATTTATCTAGAAAGTTTTCCTGTAGCCGGCCTGAAAGAGATTGTATTAACAGCAAGGAAACAAATGAGCATACCTCCTACTTAAACCTCTTGCCTCTGGAATCCTCCTGCTTCTTTCTACCCAAGTACTCTGCATACTGGCATGTGCCACCACACAGGGCAAAGGCAGCGCCCTTCATTACCTACACTATCTACATAGTGTGAGATTCATGTTAAGTGGTTGAAATACAAATCCTGTCTCTGTTAAGACATGAAAGAAATTATATTTTCATAATTATGTAATTCTACTTTTTTTTAAAGGAACTAAAATCCATTTTAACATAAGAAACCTCCACCCTTAAAAAATAATTTCCAAACAATCCACTTAAAAATATCAAAGACTTGAATTCTTAAAATCTAAATTAATTTTGGCATAATTATAGAATCCTGGCTTAAGCTAAGATGCTCATCTAATATTATAATCTAGGTGACAGTTTTATCGCGTTCCAGTAAGACAGAACCTTTAGCACTTTCACAATGCAGCACACTGTTTTTAGCTTTTAAGTAAGTTTATTCAGTTTTGCAACATTTCATGTATAAAAGCATTCAAAGTTCTTCCTCCTCACAAGGGAACAATATCACAAATAAGCCAAAATTTATTTACAGTTGGCACTAGAATGCTTTAGAAATAAACTATACGAATGTGATAAAATAGAAAAAAATTCTGAATACTCCAGAGTCCAGGCCCACTAGTCCTGGCTCCTGCTCCAACTTGCTAAATTCCCTTCAACTGCTCTAGGCCTTGGTTTCCTAATTTGCAAAATAACCATCTCCACAGTTCACTCTCCCAGCTCCAAAAGATGTGACTCATCCGCATCTTTTCTCTAAGCTTCCCAATCTCATTCTGTTCAAGTTACTGCCATTACTCCACAGCCAATACGCTATTATTTTTCTTTAGTTCCAAAATAGGAGGAAAAAACCCACTCTAAACAGTGAAAAGGGAAAGCCTTCTCCACAACTGACTTCCATAGGTGATTCTCAAGGTGAATGATGCAGAAGCCATTATAATGTCAAAAGGTGTTAGGTTTCAATATTTTAAGCTGCTGTTTTGTATGCCAGTACATTCTCCCTAAGGACAAACAGTAAAATTCAAGGACAATAGGGAGAAAAAAAAATAATTACCCATTACTTATTCAAGAACTAAGAAGGCCAATTAAAAGCATTAGCACCTTTCTGCTGAAATGCTTGATGAATTAAAGGGCAAAGTATGATCCAGAATTTTTTTTTCTAAGTAGTAAGTACTCCCTAATCAAATGAGCTTTCATTTTGTAAGCTTTAGAGCAGTCAACAGATGTAGGAATCAGTAATACAGACGTGACTAAAAAAATAAAGGTTAAAAGACTAGCAAGTTTCTTTTCAATGGAAATTAAACACCTCCACCGGCAGCGACAAAGGTGGACTCTGGACAACGGCCACTGCCTCATGCTTTGTGATCTTGTTTCTCTTTCTAATCCATTCTCAAGAGGGCCATGAACACAAGACTATTATAGCAGCTAAAATATGCCTTTGACAGGATTCCCAACTGCTAGAAAATTCAAGCTGATTTTAGCTTTGCTTTCTAGAGCTGCGAGCTTAATTTCTTTCTCAGTTCAACGCTTGAAGCTAAAACATGTTTAAACTTCTATAGAACATGGGAGTTCAATTTGCATGACCTTGTAAAGTAAGTAAAAACAAGGAAAAGAAAGCATGACTTATTAATCTTCTAGAATAAAGTCAGTAAATACAACAGTACAATCCAGCTTGATGATAACTTTGGAAAAAGCAAACCTCTGGTGTTGAGGGAGAAGCTGCAAGAATCTCAAGGTTTTAAGAATGTCCAGGAAAACTGGTAACTGCCAAAACAGCATCAAATACAGACATACAATTTAGAATAAAGGATCTCTGATAATGTCCAGAAGAGCCACCTTTTGGTTGGAATGCTAAAGAAAATGTCAAAAGCCCGTGACTGATTCCCCAAGCCTCCAAAGTTGAGAACCAAACCCAGATGCACTTAACGTTATTTCTTAGCATCCTTCTTTAAACGCAACTCCATCTCCACAAAGCCATTCCGCTTCAGCTACTCATATGGCCAAACCTCAATACCAAAGAACCTTAAAAGCCCAAGGACTTGCAGCGGGGTCTTCCCAGCGTCCACCTCCGCATCCTGTACTACCCACCCAGCGTTAAATCCCGGGAGATGCTCCAGTCTCTTCCCCCATCCCTGCTTCCTTCGTGTCTGGGTGGCCCTTTCTCGTCGACCTTGAGGACCCTCAGGTCGGAACTCTGGAGCTCCAGGTGAGCTGTCTGGTACCACCCCCCTTCCCTGCAGCCGGTGCTCAATGGCCACCCAACCCCGACCCACCACGACCCCACAAACGCCCTCCTACCAGAGCCAAACGAGCCGTTCTTCCCCTTAGATGCCCTACCTTCCTCCAATGGAAAAGCAATTCCTCCGAAACGCCCCGCGAGCCTACTACGCGCAAGCTCCCACTACGGACGGCGCGGTGCGCATGGGCTAGCTGCCCCAGCTTGTCTTCTTCTCCGCGACCGGCCCATCCCGACTCCGAGGCCGGTGCCGCCTTCGCTGAGGTGCGGAGGCGCTCGCCGGAGGCAGACTGCGCCGGGCGCGGACACGGGCACCCGGGCCAGTAGAGGCGGCCGCTCGCGGGGGCCAGGGGGCCAGGCAGCCGGCCGGGGGGCCGCGGAAACACTCGGCGGCCCGGGCGCGCGGGGCGGCCTCATCCAGGGCAC